GCCAGGACGGCCTGATCCGGTCCCGCCGGGCTGTGCCTCACGTGCATACGCGCCGCTCCGCGATCTCAATTGTCCTCCACTCGTTGTACATTGCTTTAAACAGTCCATGTCAAATCTATTTGGATTCCTCGTCCTCTGCCTTTGTCCATGCGTACTGTGCTGCGGCGATTCATGTCCTTGTTCTGTTGGGTAGTGACGTGATAGCTGTGCAGGTATGGGCTGAGACAAGGCAAATGGATGAAACTGCGTGCTGTGGCCGGCGGTCGCATTCATAATTTGGGGGCAGGGTCTTAGAACGCCTTGATCCGTTTATATTTTTGCACTTGCGAGGAGGTGAAGCTTTGGTGGCCTTTCTTGTCAAGCTTAACGACGGGTTAGGGGGTTGCTTCGAAAGGGACTGGGCCTGGTACAGCAGGATGAAAGGCGGACTAGTGGCATCGATCAAATCGATTCGAGCACCCTACTTGGAGGAGATGCGGCGGTATACGTCTAGCATATGGACGGATAGCATAGGAATTTCCCGTTCTATTCGTTGGGGGTTGAGAAGGTCAAGTCCTGCAATGCATGAAGTGTCCGACGTCGAGGTGCGTGCCCCAGGCGAGCTGTCGTGGCTTCTGTCTTTACCAGTCTCTGGGGGTCCCCCCAGAGGTCAAGGGTCTTGTCGCGTTGCAATTGGGCTTCGTAAGAAGACATGATATTTTTAAACCTTGCTGTGAGGAGGGGACGGCACCTCGAGGGGAGTGTGCTGACCTGCTGTTTGTGAAGCGCGGCGTATACTACGCGTTTGTGGAGAATCATTGCCATGTGTTGCGTCGTGGAAAGGCCACTTGCACAGGATTCAAGAGTGGCCCTCTAGCTGCGCTCTTCTTCTTACTAGCAGCGGGCAGTGAGGAACGCTGTCGCTGGAAGCAGGGAAGGATGTGATATCACTGGAGGACCTTTCTCCATGTGAAGACATAAGCCCAGGGGACAAAAGGTCGGTAGTAGATTCAAGAGCAAAGCTAAACTATCCGCTTCATGTCAACGAATGGACTGGGTAATGCCAACATGAAGGGAGGAGTATGAGGGCAGAAGCCTCCAGAGATGAATCTAGGAGATTGGATGATTCGAACGTAAGCGAAGTGTCATGGAGTTTCTCCGGAGCGCGCGCGTTTTAGCGAAAAGAAGGACGAAGAGATCTCGTCTCATCTAGTCTCTCTACTTCCTCTACATTAGCATCCTCGTATCTTCCCTTAAATAGACGCACATCGAGTATCATCCATCGCCTTGGTGGGTAAAACAGAGAGGCAAGTACATCTGCGGCCCAGATATTTTTACCCCAAGCCAGGCTCTCGATACCAAAATTTCGATTCCCAAAAATCCCCCATCTTTGGTCGAACGGGCTCACAATCTCGAGAAACCATTCCCTCTTCGTGCCGCTCGAATCTTGATTGTGCGTTTGAAGGTTGGAGTCCAACAGAATCGAAGCTAGAAACTCATACGATAAGTCGATTGACAACATTGAATGAAGCCTTCCGTGGTTGTGCCCCGCACACACACTGACAATTGCAGCTTCTCTCGTCGAAATTACTTCGATGCTCTTACGTTCCTCGACTCTGAGCCAAATCAAAAGGCCGATTCACAACAAATAGGTGACAGCCATTTCTTTCTTCGTTAATATGGATCGACTACAACCCACCGAGAACCCTCGGCCAGAAGATGACGCCTCCTTCGGACCGCTTCACCTCGTCGAGCCTCGAACCGAGCACACGCATACCGCCATCATGTTCCATGGTCTGGGAAGCTCCGGCGAGGAATTCGCCGAGGAACTCTTCGCGTCGAATTTGTCCAACGGCAAGTCGCTACGGGACGAATTCCCAGGCTGGCGATGGGTATTTCCGTCATCCAAGGAGCGCTGGAGCACCACTTTCCAAGAGTCCATGCCGGCATGGTTCGAGGCACATTCCTTGACCGACACCACGGCCAGACAGGATCTGCAAATCCCGGGAATTAGGGAATCGGTGGCCTACCTCCGCGAGGTAGTAGATGAGGAAATCAGGCTGTTAGGTGAGAGGTCGGAGAAGGGGATCATTCTCGGGGGCATAAGTCAGGGCGGCGCCATGGCGATGTGGACGCTTCTCTGTTACCCGAGACCAGTAGAGCTGGCGCAGCAGCTTTGCGCATTCACAGGCGTGAGCACATGGCTTCCGTTCGCCGCAGACCTGGAGACTATGCTCTCCAAACATCCCAGAAACGCCTCTCCACTGCGAACCACAGGCGATAACTTCTACGGCTTTGTTGAAGAGATGGCCGCTCCCTTGAGAGACGGCCTCCAGGGGACAGATTGGACACATCCTCTCTTACGCACACCTGTATTCATGGGACATGGATTAGACGATGCATACGTAGACGTTGAGCTCGGGCGGGAGGCGGCGAGGGTGCTCTCCTCGATCGGGTTTGAGGTGGAGTGGAGAGATTACTCTGGTGCTGAGCAGGAGGGCCACTGGCTGAAAGTGCCCGAGGAAGTAGATGATATTCGAGAATTCTTGGCTCGGGTCGTAGTTTAGGAGGAATCAAACCTTTTTGATTATAAGCCATTGCAGTTGTAGAGAACAAGCATCGTGGAAGCGGAAGCCAAAGTGTGAACCGATGTGATCCGTAACCCGGGTACAGAGGGTGTTTTCGGATTTGTAACAGAGTCATAGACCTGGAAAACGGCATGGGAATGAGCAAACGACGATGAGGCGATGGCGATTTAGCAATTGGGTTTAATCGACCCATGTTTCCGTCCGAGAAACTCTTCAAGCTGATTCCAAGTCACGATGTCACGATGTCACGATGCGTGTCTGTGTTTGCAAGCCCAAGCCGCACCTTCCCTCAATTTCGTTCTCTCAACTTCACATCCTTCATATACGAGTCCACGGCAACAACGTCCAACCGAGTAGCTCAAGCAGTGGTGACACTACAACCAGTGGCCAAGTGGTCATTGGAGCGCTCAGAAGGTTAGAAAATTGCAAATTTTCGTAGCTCGTGGGAAGTTCCCTGGATTCGATCCTCGGGGCGACCCGCGAGTGAGCTTTTTGTTTTTAATTTTTAATTTTAATCTTTCCTCACTGCACGTTTCTTTTCTAAATTCGTGAGTTCTTCTTTTCTTCTTCCTTTTCTAATTATTATTTTTTTTTTTCTCTCTTTGTTTTCATTTTCTTAAAACTCGGGAGGTGGTCTATTCAGAATCCCTCAAAAGAAGTTTGTGAGAACCATCGCGGAGATGGAATACGAAGACGTGAGCGAAGATCTCTCGACAGTCCTCGCCCGGATTAACTGCAAATCGGACCAATCCAGCACGTCCCATTGCTTATTCTTGGATGACCGCCTCTGCTTGACGAGGGACAGGTCAGATTGATCTCTTCGTCTTTCCCCTTCTAACAGTTCGTACTTTGTCTATCCTACCATCCCATCCTACCGCTGACCCCCACAAAAGTATAGATCCAGCGCAGTTGGATCCAGCAGTTGAACAATGCACCAAGTCGGTGTCGATCGTCCGTCTGCCTAGCGGGCGAAACATCCAACGCCACCAACACCCCCAAACCCGCAGGATCCGAGCACAGCCCATGCATACGTCTTCAACTTCGTCCCGTCGCGGGCCGAAGAGGAAATCGAAATAAAAAAAAAGAATGCGCAAAGAAGACGTGCTCAATGCTCTCTCCCCCATTCCCTGCTTACAGGAGCTTCGTACCGAGTTGCAGGGCCCCCAGTCAAAAAGGTCATGCTCCGCCTCAGCCCTCCCAGGCAAGCTCTCGTTCACGAACCAATAAGACGCGAATCCGTGTGTATTGCCATCACTATGATTGGGTCACAAGGAGGAGAGCTCAGCACCATGCATATCATACAACGTTAGTGGGATGGGTAGGGCCAGCGGCTGGCTGGGTCCAGGCGAATTGTCGAATCTCAGTGGTTCGCTCGAGGACATTAGCCGGGAAGTGGATGGGAACAATGGGATCCCATTGTCCAACCTTACGGAGCCGGAAGGGTGGCCATCATCATTGATAGTTTACTTCGGTTCAGTGTGGGAACACAGGTAGGCTGAGCAAGTCGTGCCTGTCCCGGACGGTGTTGTCATTGGCTCGTTTTCGTCCCCTCTGCAATTCCCAGAAAGTCCCTTGATCTCCGCCCTTTTGTACGATTTCGGAGCTGCTTAGGGATCTGGAGGATCCGATTGGAACTGCTGTTGTCGGCGCTTTCCCCTGATTTCTCTGTCAGCCCTGTGTCCTGCGTGAGAGACTCGGACTTGTCCGCTCTGCATCTGCATTGACTGGTTCCTATCCGAACCGCATCGGTTAAGAGGCGGGCCTCATTGGCTTTACCTCGTAGACAGCTCCTCTGGGGTAGCATCTAATGATGTCGAGATGGATCTGCCCTGTCATGCCCCGCTCCTGGGGTCCAATGCGCCTCTATCAGATGTTACCGTGTCCCGCTGTTTCAACGTCAAGCTCCTCTTTTTGCTGCCATGCTCTTGAGTGCATCTCCATCCACTTTCGCCCCCCCGAGACACGCTCCCTCTTCGGTTCTGCTCTCCCCCAATTATACCCCTCTTTGACATCCCACCTTTGCTTCTTGTCTTACACACCATGAGCGAAAAGTGACATGTCGTCCAATCCTGCGTTGGTCGTTGCCCGTTCAAGATGTATATCTGTTTCTCGTCTCTCCAGGCAGGCTGTGTATATATTAAGGCTGCTCTGCCTGCTTGATTCCTGCCTCCTTTACACCTCTTCTCCAAGCTTCTCCCTGACTCGAGCTGTTCTTCCAGCTCCTGAGTAGATCCATTTCGTGATTCCTTCCTAATTTTGTTGTGGTTCTGTCCTCTGTGCTTTGGGACCGTGACTTGTCCTGCTCCGTTTGTCTTGTCTTATTCATTATATAAACCATCAAGACCTCACCAGCTATTCCCTGGTGCTTGCTGCCATTGCTACTTCTCGAAATCAATATTCCACCCGACCCTGATACAGACATAACCAAACACCATGGCTGATAAATTCCTCGACCTGCTGGGCGGCTCCCCGGACGGAAAGGGCTCCAATGGCAAAGCCAAAGATGCTCCCCCCTCCACCACCTCCTCCGCCAACAAATCCCCCCCATCCCCAGACCTCTCCACCCGCCTCTCCTGGGTAGCCAAAGCTATCCTGCGCTCCTTCTCCGCCATCCCCGAAACCCCCTACTCCACCGCCGGCAACACCGTCGACGCCACCGCCACGACGGGAATCCTCGAGGACCTCCAAAAGATGGGCTTCAAAGACGTCGAGACCCTCCTCGAGTTCCTGCACACCGCCGTCCACGGCGTCCAGGACGATAGCAAGCTCCTCCTCGAGCGGATCGTGGATTTGTTGTCGAAGCTGCCGCCGTCTTCGCGGGAGGGTGCGGCGCTCGAGAGCGGGTTTATTCATCAGCTCTGGAACTCGCTGCAGCATCCTGTGCTCACGACGCTGGATGACAAGTTCAAGTATCGTGAGGCGGACGGGTCGAATAATAATCCGTATATGCCGCAGCTGGGCGCCGCGGGGACGCCGTATGCGAGGACTACGCCGCCGATGACGTATCAGAGGCCGGATGCGCCGGAGCCGAGTTTGCTTTTTGATACGTTGATGAGGAGGGGGGATGGGTTCCAGGAGCATCCGAATAGGATTTCGAGTGTGTTGTTCTATATGGCGACGCTTATCACTCATGATATCTTTCAATCTGTGAGTTTATACCTTCTTGGGGTAGAGCAAACCCTTTTCGGCCGATACTAACGGTACGCTTTCTTGCAGGATGGAAAGAGGAGTGGCATCAACCTGACTTCCTCGTACCTTGATCTTGCTCCTCTCTATGGGCGAAATAAGGAGGAGCAGCTTGCAGTCCGCGCCTTGGAGGCCGGCAGACTGAAGCCAGATTCCTTCTCGTCCAAGAGAGTCCACGGCTTCCCTCCCGGCGTAGGTGTGCTCATCATCATGTTCAACAGGTTCCACAACTACGTGGTAACCCAGCTCGCAGCGTAAGTATCAGTTCACGTCCGCCAAGAAGTATTCCTAACTAACCCCTCAAACTAGAATCAATGAAGGCGGCCGCTTCAAGAAGGAGCCTACCGCCCAAGAACTTAAAGGCAAAGATGCAGCTACACAAGAGGCCCTCCGCGCCGCCGCTCTCGCTAAATACGACGAAGACCTATTCCAAACAGGCCGTCTCGTCACCTGTGGCCTCTATGTCAACATCATCCTCCGCGACTACGTTCGCACCATCCTCAACGTCAACCGCTCCGACACCGCCTGGGCCCTCGACCCACGCATCAAAGACGGCCAAAACATCTTCAGCAAGCCCACGCCCGAGGCCACAGGCAACCAGGTATCGGTCGAATTCAACTTCCTCTACCGCTGGCACAGCGCCATCTCGGTACGGGACCAGGAATGGACCAACGACGCGTTCAAGGAGATCTTGGGGACGGATGACCCCGAGGCCATGAAGTTCGAAGAGTTCCTCGGGAAGCTGCATTCGTTTGAGGCTGCGCTCGACGATGACCCCGTGAAGCGCCAGTTCCACAAGATCAAGCGCAAGGAAGACGGCAGCCTCCCCGACGATGATCTCGTCAAGGTCTGGTTCGAGTCCGTCGAGGACGTAGCGGGTTCGTTTGGCGCGAACCGCGTGCCGCCCGTCCTGAAGCACGTCGAGATCCTGGGCATCATCCAGGCTCGGCAATGGAACGTCGCGACTCTCAACGAGTTCCGCGAGTTCTTCGGCCTCACGCGCCACCGCACCTTCGAGGACATCAACCCCGATCCCGAAGTCGCCACCAAGCTGCGCAACCTCTATGACTCCCCCGACTCGGTGGAGTTGTATCCCGGCCTCGTAATCGAAAAGGCTAAGCCGCCCATCGACCCTGGCAGCGGTCTCTGCGTCAACTTTACGACGAGCAGGGCTATCCTTTCGGACGCCGTTGCGCTCGTGCGCGGAGACAGGTTCTACACAGTTGATTACACGCCGAAACACCTCACGAATTGGGGCTTCAACGAGGCGAGCTACGATGCCAAGGTCAATAACAGCCACGTCATCTACAAGCTCGTGTTCCGCGCCTTCCCGAACCATTTCCGCCGCGATAGCATTTACGCACACTTCCCCTTCACGGTGCCCTCGGAGAACGCAAAGTTCCTGGCCAAGATCCACAAGGATCATCTGTATTCGTGGGACCGACCTTCTCCTGTCGGCGACCTTATTCTAGTGCGTTCGTACGACACGGTTAAGAAGGTCCTCGGCAATCAGAAGGATTACACCGTCGTCTGGGGCGATGCCATTCGCTTCCTCACGGAGAAAGACGGTCATGCGCCCGGTGCCACGTTCTGCTTGGCCGGCGATAAAAGAGCTAACGCTGAGAGCCGCAATCTTGTCCTCGACGCGCTCTACGGACCCGAGGCTTGGGAATCGGAAGTCTCGCGGTTCTACAGCAAGATGGTGCCGGTCCTTCTCAAGAAGTACAGCTACACGTGGGAGACGGCGTCTGAGGTAGAAAAGAAGAAGCCCGGCACGCACGCACGCGAGGTCGACATCGTCCGCGACGTCATCAACCTGGCCAACACACGCCTCTGCGCCGCCCTCTTCAACCTCCCCATCAAGATCGAAGAGAACCCCTGGGGCGTGCTAACAGAGCAGGAGCTCTACCTCGCCGCAACAGCCATCTTCTCCTCCATCTTCTTCGACTCCGACATAGCCAAGAGTTCGCAGGTCCGCAATGTAGCCAAGGAACTCGCGGGTCAGCTCGAGCGCCTGGTCATAGTGGCGGCGCATGCCGTCGACAAGGTGGGCATCGTCACCGATGCCGTCGAGAGCGTCCGGGGATACTGGCGCGGCGAGGGGTTCCCGGCGATTGCGGGGTACGGACATGAGTTGATTCGGCATCTGCTGGAGAAGGATAAGAGTGTGGAGGAGTGTGTGAGGGGCACGATTTTGCCGTTTATTTCGTCGAATGTGCCGAATCAGTCGGCGTTGTTGGCGCAGTGTCTTGATTTTTATCTGGAGGAGGAGAATAAGCACCATCTTGAGGAGCTGTATCGTCTGGCGCATGAAAACACTGACGAAGCCGATCTGAAGATTACAAAGTAGTAAGTCGCCCAGTCTCTAAAACGATAACTTACACATGAAGAATGCTAACCACCTCGAATAGCATGCTCGAAGGGTCTCGCATCCGCGGCACCGTCGCCGTCTACCGCGACGTCCAAACCGCCACCTCCCTCCCCGACTCTGTCCCCGCCATCCCCAACCCCTCCGACCCAACGCACGTAAACCCCCTCACACCACCCTCCCAAACACAATTCCACCTCCCCCTCCGTAAGGGCGACCGCCTCCTCCTTTCTCTCGCCTCCGCCTCCCGCGACCCAACCATCTTCCCCGAGCCCGACAAGGTGAAACTCGACCGCCCCATATCGTCGTACATCCACTTCGGATCCGGGCCGCACAAGTGCGCGGGCATGGAGCTCAGCATCGTGGCGCAGACAGCGCTGTTCAAGCAGATTGTCGGACTGAAGAACTTGAGGAGGGCGGAGGGGGATAGGGGACACATGAAGAGTATGCCGGCGAGGAAGTGGAAGGGCCAGGTTAAGGGGAAGAGGGAGAGGGAGGCGGAGGAGGGTGCGTGGTCGGGCTTGAGGGTTTATATGCTTGCTGATCAGAGTGGGTATTGGCCTGTTCCTACGACTATGAAGGTTGAGTGGGATGAGTGAGGGTCAGGGCCTGAGGGTTTCTGTTTGGTGAAGCTTGGATAGATTGTGCCTTCTTTCTCGATTCGCCTGAGATTGTTGTGCTGTATGTCGTAGTAGAGGAAGTCTGCAAATTGGATAACACTTGCCTTGTAATCGACCATATGAAGAAGTGTCTGGTCTATCGTGATCTTCGCTTCGACCTCGCCTTGAGGGTAGGACCGGAGAGGAGAAGCCGTTCGCCTGCTAATCTTGATAAACGACAGACCTAATAAACTTAACTTTTTTTTATTATTTTATTTTATTTAATTATTTAATTATTTATTTTTTCCTTTTCTTATTTTCGCTCTTCCTTCCACTTCATACTCCAAATGTGAAGAGGACTGCTTCGTGATAATCCACCGACGTGTGAGTCTACTCGTAAAGCTCAGATTGATGCGGAGGACTTTCAACAATCGAGGCACTAGTGGTTTAGTGGTAAAATTGGTCGTTGCCATGTAATTCACAAGTTTCGACTAGCCCCCGGTTCGATTCCGGGCTAGTGCATAGATATTCAAAATATCTTCTTTTTTGCCCTTTTACCCCTTTTCCATTTTTTTTTTTTCCCCTTCTCTTCCCTGTCTGTCTCCCCATTTTCTCCTCTTCGATCTTCTGTTTTATTTATTTCTATATATTTTTATTTTAAGATGAGGGCACTGTTCTTATCGAGAAATAAAGCACTCCCTTCATTTGCACTCTCTTCTCTTTGCATATGAATTTGCATCTCTTAAAGACAGATGTTTTCTTGGTTCACGTGCGGATTTCAAAAAGGGTAGGTTGCAGCATCTACGGTCTCCTGCCTGCTGTTTAGAGAAAAAAACTTCTCGATTGGCTCTGGCTACTGCGTAGGCCGTTCGATACTTGTCTGGGATGGAGATGAAGTCTGTCGAGGTGAGGGATAGGGATGAGTGACCTAAGAATCGTGAGACCCGTACGGACTATTCTTGAAGTTAATACAAGGGAAGTTGTCGAGTTAGGTTTCAGAGAATAGCGTGGACTTGTACTGGATGGTACCGGCGACATTAATGATAAATAAAATATTAAGATTCGGTCAACTTGCTAAGCAAGACATCTCTCAAGTGTAACCGGCTACAGTTACTAAACACGTCCCTGTGCAATGGTGACCGCAGTGAGCGTCAAGAAAGTAACAATTCATCCCCACGTCACTTTTCAGTATCCCATTATTGACCATGTGTGACCGGAGGCAGTGAGTGGGCGGCCCGCGTCTCAAACTGAAGGGGGGAGCCCAGGTCCCCTTCACCCTTAAAACAAACGGAAGCGACAGACGGTAGATCAACATGAAAACAACACAAACAGGTAATCGAGGCACCCGATTTGGCTCTCAATCATCCTCACCAACTCGGGTGCCAGCGATGCCGCTCCACCCGTCGCGCTCGTAGTATCGGAAGACCAGGTCATAGTCGTCAAATTCGTGGACGATGCGCTCGACTCGTCGGTAGCCGGGAACGGGCTGGAGGAATCGCGTGATGTGCTTGCGACGGCTAGCCGCCCAGTCCTCGTCATCCTGGACGAAGGCGTTCTCGCGCTTGCCATGGCCCTCGAAGAGCGTAACACTGAATCGGCCGGGCTTAAAGATGTTGACAACGTGCTCGATAATCTCGGTCGTGCTTCGTCCGGTGGGCTCGCCGGGGACGTTGGTCTCAAACGATGCAAAGGAGCAGTGAGGCTCGGGAGTGACATGGACGGTAAAATAATGGGCAGGCCCGGAAGGCGCAGACTCCACATGCTCGCCATTCTCGCCCTTATCGCCATTGACCAAACCTTCACTCGCACCCACTTCCACACCCGCCTCCGTATCCACATGGCGAGGAGCGGGAATGACGCCGTTGGCGGAGAATCCGCAGGGACTGAACATGTAGGCATCGATTCTGGCATCGGGATACAGTGAGGTGGGGTAAACGGATGAAAGACCGGAATTTTCAGAGACCACGGTTCCCAGTGCATGGCCCTCGGTGGTAGCGGCGGGCTCCGCATCGGCCTGGGCTGGGTCGTGCAAGTCAGACTCGCAGCCGTTGCTGAAAACGTCTACATCATCGAACTCCTTGCTGGCTGTTCCATTGGTGTAGCCGTTCTGACGTGGTTTCGGCGCAGCATCTCTCTCACAGGCGACCGCACTCGCGTGTGACAGATAGAACTGCTTCGCATTCTCCGGATCGAGATCGGTCATGAGAATCTCCAGAGTCTCGTCATTCATGTCTTCGGCAGAGCAAGGCATGAAGGTGGTGGTTCCGGCGGGGATCTTGGTCGCGCGGATAACACCGTTGAATGCTTCGGGGAGCTCCTCATCGGGAGTCCTGGGCGGGGTCAATTCGAACGAGGGAGACGTAAGATAGAGGTACCAATGGTCTCCGTTCATTTTACCGACCATGTAGGCACTGCCGCCATCCAGCATGTCGTCGAGGAACTTGACCTCCTGCTTCCAGCTTCGGTGGGGACCGCGCTGCTTATCGGGGAAGAGGAAGTTCTTCCTGCTGTAGAAGAATCTGTAAGGCGTGGCCGCAGCCTTGATCTCCGTTGCGCACTTAGCGTTGTGGAACGGGAAACCGGCATCGGCCGCGGCGATATGCAGCAGGCGCTGGAGACCGAGCAGGAGAGTAGTGGTGCCGCATGTCTTCAGGATGATCTTGTGGGGGAAGACAAACATGCTCGACTCGGACAAAAGGTAGGCATCGACGCGGTCGGACTCGAGGACGGACAGAATTTGGCAATTGACCATGTCCAACATGGCCTCCCAGGTCTTGGCGGGGACTGCCTTCAAGCCGGTTGGCTGGGCGCTCGGAGGGAGCGACGTAGGGCTTGGGGCGAACCAGACCTCCAGAAGCTTCTCAGGACCTAAGCAAGAATCGACAGTGTTAGCTCTTCTCTCTTCCTGTCTCTCTCCCCTCGAAATTCCCGGATTGACGCCTGAATCGGGTGACGCCGTGAGCAATGAGGACACTAACCTTCAAAGGCGTGGGTTGAGTCAAGGTCGGAAGCGACATCGTGGTTGATGGTCAGGTGAGGAGTTGCCTGGGAAGGCGAGAAGGTGTAGCTGCTAGGAACTGGCATGACGAGCATCTCTGCAGCAGGTTTCTTCGACTATCGATGTAAAAGCGGACGCGGGACCGTTCAGCAATACAATTATACTGAGAAGCTCGGAGAAGGGGTGTTATTGAACAAAGGCGAGAGCTATTCTCGTCGCGTCGGCGTAGAATCGAAAAATCGAAAAGACTCGGGGACTTCAGATTGAGGACGTATCCTCCTTTCTTGGGTTCCGCGGAGCACTAGCTGCCGCTCAAACGAACTATGCGGGGTCCGTTTGAGAGAGCAGGCCCACAGGAGGCGTAGTTTTGTGTAAGTGCTGGCGGTGCCAGCAGCAGTGGTTCGATGGGTAGCTTAACGTCTCTTAAAGGGACGTTATGGTGGCCGGGCGCGGAGGGGTAGGAAAACGACTCTGAACGACGGAATGATGACTCGCTTTCGGCGACCTCGCTCTTGCAGAAACCGATACCTGTGGTGGAGTATCGGGCCCAGCAGACGAGGCTATCTGGGTGAGACTCGGTGAGCTCTTGGAGGGTGGAGAGCTACGAGCGTGGGGTGTGTTTTATGCGGTGTGTGTTTGACAGAAGGTCCAGCCAGAACTGTGGGAGGTAGATGTCTAAGTGTTGAGGTTGTGTAGGGGGTGCTATCGAGGCCTATGATTTGCAGAGGTTAGCACCTGTCACGAGCCATGACAACTCTGGCCTCTTCATGGAATGGACCAAAGGTGCCTTAAAGAGAGGTCCTTCCAGAAGGAGAAGCAAGGCGGGTTTCAGGAAAGCGCAAGGCGAATGCATACTTGCGAGGCTTGGAGAGGAATCGAATGATATCCTTCGGGCTCATAAAGGCCAGTCTCGGACCGATTGTTTGGAGTAGTTCGACTCTAGGAGTGGGTGGTCTCGTGACACTACGTACGTTCGAGGGTCGCAGGAAGAGTAACGGCAAGAGACGGTGGATATGGCAAAGAAGCGTGGGGTAGACGTGAAGTTATAGAGTGGAATTGATGAAGTTGAAGATGCAATGGACGAAGAAAGAGGGCAAGGTTAAAGCAGCTAAGTTGTTAGAGGGAGAAATTTGGAATTGAGTTGGGAGTCAAGAGGCGTAATCTCTTTGAGAAGTGTGAGGTATTGCTCTGCGTACGTAAGAAACGTAAAAACGGGTTCGGCCGGGCCTTGGTGGCTCGGCCCTAGGATGGCACTACTCGCGGACGATCGTTCTTGGTGGTGCGGCTTGAGGTGGCCAAGTCGCTGGACACAGTTTAGAGGGATTGGATCTCCCTATGATATCAGAGGAGAGATATAAAGTTGGGCATTACAAACAGAACGAAAATTGAGAAGAGAGGTGTTTGTGGGAGGACTGGAGTGGGAGCTGATGGGGTTGGGGTTTTTTTGGCTGCTGCGGTGGAAAAAAGTTCGCGGGCAACAGAATTGCAATTTTTTTCGTACTTCTCGCTCTTTCCCTTTCTTGTCGTGCCCCTCCTTCGTTGACACTATCAATACATGTACGAGGTACCTGCGGCAACCCGCATTCAATCGAACTTTCCTTGTGTTTTCTGTGTGGTTTTTTGTCCTCGGAAGTCGCGAATTGAGTTGAGTGGGGCATCACCAATCTTGGTACAATCGTACCTTGTACATGCTCATGTCCCACCCTGCAAGGTCTGACGTAGTGGGACACGGTTCAGTTCATGTTCCCCTCATGTGCCCAACACAAATTCAAGAGCTTAAAACGTCGTGTACGAATGTAGCGTACACTTTGCTCCGCAGGCTCGCACTACGCTAGGTTGTTCCAATTGGCGCTCTCCAAATAGACGTGTCGTTAGTAGATGTCTCTTGACTTAGATCACAAGTTGACAATGGATGGAGAAACACCACAACCAGCCATTCTCTTAGTCATGTCTTGGATCATTGTGACGGAGAGAATCCAGTCAAGACAACTGGGATCCACATGTTGAACGAGGAGTTGGAAAGAACATCGGAACAACCCAGTTATCAGTACCTCGGTACCTCGTGGTTCACAGCTCCCCCCATGCCTCGTAGGGCCTGGAACCCCAATCGACCGCACCAAACCCCGCCAGTCATGAAGTACATGGTACAAAGTATAACCTTGATCAATGATGAATTGAGCAATGAAGCTTGTCCCGAAGCCGCCCCGGACTCGATCCAACTCACCCCTCTCGATCCCCCTGCTTTGGTGGCGCCAGGGCACATCAAGTCCCGCGAACCCTGCGCCAAGACACCCGCAAGGAGCGACGGTTGTCTGTAGACCATAATGCAATTCTGAACCCCCCTTCCCCAAAATCAATGAAATGCTGCATTTGGTCGTTAAGCAACGCACGTCATCGTCTGCGATGCCCTCCCATTTCCCGAGCCCGTTCCTCTCTGGCCATTCCTCCTGTGTGTCGACTCCGTATAAACTAAAGTGCGTTTTTCAGACCCCATGTAACTCCCGCTATTCCCAGTCAGGTATGCCCAACCGTGGACTGGACTGAAGAGCATCAATACCCTCAAGGGCCTCAACTCATCCCGCCCCGTCCCTAACCGCTGATTGTTTGTACGGATAGACTTGAGTAATTTCCGACACTCTCTCCTGCATGCAGATTATATTTGGGGACTCCTGTCCGATTCTCCGCGTGGCCCGTCTCGACTTTGATTGTGCCTCTATGCTTCTATTGAGGTACTTCGTAATGTTTTTCATCGTCTACATCGGGTGATCTTGTGCTCTACCGGATGTAGTGCGCGCCTGCACGGCACTCGTCATTTTCGGTCCCCTCCTTCTTGGTCTCCATCGACACCTTCGGCCGCTGTAAAGAAAGGAAAAAGGGAGAAAAATAAAAGGAAAATAAAATAGCGGCCTTGACTCTCGACTCGCTTATATCGAGTCGTGGAAAGGAGCGGGAAATTATCGCCGTAGAAGAAAAAGGGCCGGCTTATCGGGAGGCAGCCGACGAAGCAGCACAACCTTCTCATGTGGTGGTGGGTGGGTGAGATATTGGAGACGCCGTCTGCGGTTACACCCGGTGGACCTGTAAAGATATTGCTTTCAAAGACAAGAGAGCCCGTATTGAACGGCCTCTTGGTCTCCCGTCCTGGGCAACGATGCACGTAGCGGCTTGACAGCAACCGGTGAGGAAGGTCATGCAGTATGCTCATGTATATCTTGCAGGAGGAGACTGCACCCCTCTCCTGGAAAACTACCTTGTGCCGGCTTCTACATTCTCTATAACGTTTTCTGTAATCGGCCCAAGTACGTGATACAAGTAACAATCCTTGTACCTCTCCGCCAGAAGAGTAGGATCTCTGCTCTCCACATCATCCTTGACCTCACCTTCCAGGCTCTCTGCTGTGACACCCTCTTCTTTAACCCCTATATCTCTTCCATTCGCCATCGTTCCCTGCGGATACCTAGGTCTCCTCCCAGACTCAACCAGCTCGCCAAATTGAGGATCAATAGGCACTGACCCCAAAAACGGCACATTAAAGTCCTCCGCCGTCTCCTTCCCACCCCCAGACCCGAATAGATCGCTACAGTCCGCACAATTCTCGCACACAAACCCGCTCATATTCTCCACAACCCCCAAAACCTTAATCCCGGTCGCCGAGCAGAAATTCAACTCCTTCCTCACATCCTGCGTCGACATGGCCTGCGGCGTAGTCACGACCACCGCGCCCGCCACCTGACCCGGCAGCGCATTGTTCGCTAGCGTCTCAGCAAGTGAGATGTGCTCGTCGCTCGTGCCCGGCGGCGAGTCGATGAGGAGGTAATCCGTCTCACCCCAGAGGACGTCGGATAGGAACTGTCGGATCATAGCCGTCTTTTTGGGCCCGCGCCAGACGACGGCGTCGCCGCGGTCGCGGAGCATGAAGCCTAGGCTCATGGCGCGGAGGGGGCCCTTGCCTGTGGATGGGTCGGCTTCGTGGACGGTCACGGGGAGCCAGCCGCCCGGTGCTTGTCTTACTTTGGCATCTTCTATGGCGAGCATGCGCGGGATGTTGGGGCCTGTGAGGTCGGCGTCGAGGATGCCGACGGAGTGGCCGGCGAGAGAGAGGCAGAGTGCGAGCTGGGTTGTGATGGAGGATTTGCCCACGCCGCCTTTGCCCGAGAGGATCTGTGGAATTTGTTAGAGAGGAAAATGACCGGGGCCAATCTTATTTAGTGAGAAGTTGGGACGTACCAGGACGATATGCTTGACCCTGGTCGTTGACATGATTGCTCGTCGATCCTTGGTTGGCTTATAGTGGGGCAGTCGCTGGAAGAGGATCTCACTCAAAGTTGATTTACGGCAGACAGAGCTTTTCAAACTAATCAAGGTCGAGGATACCGACCAGTAAACGCGTCTTCAAGGGTATCCTGAGGGATTTTATGCGTGAAATGATAGCGATATAGAGTCGAGGGGGACATAAATGTTGATGAATGTTGAAGTGCGTTGCTCCCCCTATGCTGAGTAATTGGAATTTGAGATCAAGATTCGTTTATTTACAATTAATACAGTGCACAACCACAATGACCAGACACTGCAACTTGCCTGGAGTGATAAGGCCTGCCACAAACTGGTTGTGCCTACAATTGTTCTATTGACCGTCTTTCCGGGTGCTTATTTTAGTCGATGGGGGAGAAAATTGCTTAGTCAGAGTCCTACTGAAGTTTGGCGGCCAGCGTGTGCAATTGAAGCTTGTACTCTAGATTGGTGTGATAAATATGAAGTATTCGATTCAAATTACTAGTTTATTTGCTTAATCGAACACCCTCCCTCTCTCTTTCCTTTTTTTTTTTTTTTTTTTTTTTTTTTTTTTTTTTCTTTTTTTTTTTTTTTTTTTTTTTTTTTTTCTTCTTCTTCTTCTTCTTCTTCTTCTTATTTTCTTTAATCTCGGCAGCTCGTCTAACCTTTTTTTTTTTTTAAAAAAAAAAAAAAAAAAAAAAACCCTCCCAGCCTCTGACATCTGCGGTGAGTGTGGTATCCGGTATCTATTGATGGATATCCCAGCACTACTGGCGCTGACAGCCAATGCTCAGTGCCGTGTGAGGATCAGGAACTGTACCTTTGTACTGCGTCCAGCTCTCCAGTGACTTGCGTGAAAGGGTAACCAAGTCCTGCGGGCCCTAACATGATGGCAATTAACGAGGAGAAATGTGCTCTACTGACGTGCCGCATTTCCAGCAGCCAGGCTATTTAATGTACCTACATCCTAAACCATAACCAGTTTGTTGTTTTCTCCAACTTCGTATTTCAAGACATACCACCCAAGTCCAGTAATCGACAACCCATCCCAGAACAAGCGCTAGAAAAGTACGAAGCAGATCCTCTTACTCCTCTACATACCCATCCTTCGTTATTATCTTTTCCTTCATCCCCTCTCCAACCCCGGCAACAACCTTACCCTGCTTCGTCTCTATATGAAGCAGATGTATAGGGACAACATCTTAGCTGTCTGATGAGGCAGTGGTATCAGAGGGTATCAGAGGCTGAAAGTGGGACGATCCTCTACATCTGGCGGAACACGAAGCGTAGTCGGGCAATTGAGGAATAGTGGAACCCAGCCTCTGAAATCCCGGCATCCTGTTTATTGCGGAGCTGCCAACATCGTAGTACCTCGCGGTATGTTGAAGGAATCAGTCCTACATCCAAGCGCCGACATTCGCACCTTCGTCATGTGTTTCTAATAAATCATTAGCTTCCAACTAAAACTCTAGAACTGAGGTGGCAGAAAAATAAGTCTTTCCATTAAAACCCTCTTCTCTAAAGACATTAGAAAGTAGAAAGATATTTAAAGCTTCTTCTATGCGCCTAATCGTAGTCGATCCACAATGCCTGATAGCCCTTCAAAGCAGCCCAGCTAGCTGGCGTTTGACCGTCGTTATCCTTCGAGTCAGCGTCGACCTGGCCCGTGGCAAGAAGGACCTTGACGATGGCTTCACAGCCATATTCAACTGCCCAGCTAAGTAGTATTCAGTTGTTATTATCCTTTTAAGTTAGCATCGACCTGGCCTGTGGCAAGAAGGACATTGACAGCGGCTTTATGGCCATGTTTAGCAGCCCAGCTAAGTGGAACTCGGCCGTTGTTATCCTTTGAGTTGGCATCGACTTGGCCTGTGGCAAGAAGGACCTTAACAATGTGTCCATGGCCGCTCGAAGCAGCCCAGCTAAGTGGCGTTCGGCCGTTGTTGTCCTTTGAATCGGCATCAACCTGGTCTGTGGCAAGAAGGACCTTGACAGTGGCTTCACGGCCATGTGAAGCAGCCCAGCTAAGTGGCGTTCGGCCGTTGTTATCCTTTGAATCGGCATCAACCTGGCTTATGGCAAGAAGGACCTTGACAGTGGCTTCATGGCCATGTTTAGCAGCCCAGCTAAGTGGAACTTGGCCGTTGTTATCCTTCGAGTTGACATCGACTTGGCCAGTGGAAAGAAGGGCCTTGATGGCGGCTTCATGGCCGCGTCTAGCAGCCCAGCTAAATGGTGTCTGGCCGTTGTTATCCTTTGAATTGGCATTAACCAGGCCTGTGGCAAGAAGGACCTTAGTAATGTGTCTATTGCTGCTCGAACAAGTCCAGCTAAGTGGCGTTCGGCCGTTGTTATCCTTTGAATCGGCATCGACCTGGCCTGTGGCAAGAAGGACCTTAACAATGTGTCCATGGCCGCTCGAGGCAGCCCAGCTAAGTGGCGTTCGGCCGCTCTCATCCTTCACATCAGCGTCGACCTGGTCCATTGCCAGAGCAAAAGCCAATAGTATCTCAGCACCTTTCTCTGCTAGGTATGAAAGAACAGGCCGGCGCTGAGCAAAGGTAAAGTTGCGAAAAGCAGAGAGTTCCCGAGGGTCAAATTTCCATTGGGTGCAAAGTGAAGATAAATGTTTGTCGGTGCCGGCTAGACCTTCTAATATCCTGGCAACTGCTAAATGATTTCCATGGGCCAACGCAGCAAAAATCGGGGTTCCGTAGTGCTCATTCTCAACGACAAAGCCATTTTTGACATTTCCGTAGATGTCAATAAGGGCAGGTAGGCCAAGTTCTGCTAATACATAGAGGAAGCTCGTGTTTAGAGTATATCGAGTATATCGAGTAAATCGAGTATATAGACGGGAATGATCTCTCTTAATAATGTTGCGGAGCTTCAACCAATCTGCAAGACGAAATGTCGAAATAAAGTCTCGCTGGTTGACTCCGGCGGTTTGCGCTGCTTCTGCATGCCATAGAACATCATCTACAGCATATCGTAGAAACGGAAATTGCTCGGATACCTCCTTACAATGACTTGCGTCTGCAGTGGAAAATGCCCTGGGAAGCGGGTCTCCGATGTCTAGGCAGGCTTCGACGTAGACGTTTATGTACCTGAAGCAGCACTGCTTCAGCCGGTCGTGACTTTGGCCTGCAAAGTTCTTCCCCAGATCTGACCACACTTCGTCCAGGCCATTCTCCTTCAGAAGGAAGTCTCGCACCGATTCGTGGATAAACTGGACTGTCGGTATAATGAATGTCGTGACTTCAGCGAGTCCCTTTGACGAATTGAGAATGAACCTTTTAACCGTGTCCATAGTCGTTTCATCTGGATCCCACGCCAGCATATCCTCGGGTTCGGTCCCCGAGAGAATGGCAAAGTATAGCTGTTCCGGCGTAAGTGGTTCGCGGGCAAAGAGAACCCATTGAATACAAAGAAGTAGGTCCTCTCTGTTTCGAGAACCATCTCGCGTTAGAATATCTCGGAAAAGCTCGTGGAGATCACCAGGGATCATGTTAAGCTTTTGCTGGAGACGGCGTGCAGGCTGGCCCGCATCATGCTCCTTGTTGAGCATCCCAACTACCAGAACAACCCACATGAAAACTCCAGATGATTTTTCTCGCAGGTCATCTTTAATTTTCCTCGCAAGTGCAGTCTGGCCGATTTTCAACTCGCTGTCAACATAGTCAGTGATATCCTGGTTATGTCCCTCCTGGCCCTCGAGGACTAAGCTAAGCCCTTGAGAGATTGTGATGTGAGGGTAATGTCGGCTTGAAAAGCAGACTTGGAACCGGATTCCTGCTGGGACAGAAATGGCTCCGAGGTGCTGAAAAAATGCCACCATATCACGAATCTGATCTTCGTCACACTCATCCAGCGCATCGATGAAACACGTCACAACGCCCTGGCCGAGTGACTGAACAGTTTGTTGAAACAGATCCTTCAGTGACTCAATACTCCAACTATGACCGCTACTGATATTCCAATTTGCAAACCCGACTGACTCAAAAACGTCCTGAAGTTTCGGTAGCTGTTCAAGGATCTGTAGAAGCAATGACCGGTACATCCCGATCGTCGACTTCTCTAGGGTAGTCCCTCGGGCGTTGAAGAAGAAGGAGATAACGGTTGTGTCCCTCATAAACCTTCGAGAATTGGCAAGGGCGAATTTCATCAGCGTCGACTTCCCAGCGCCGGGCTTTCCCTTGATCCACAGAAAGCCATGGTGATCGGGAAGCCTCCGAATATCAAGCCAGTCGAGATATTCCGACTGTTTCAGGAGCCATTCGCACGTTTTATGATGTGCAGCTTTGATGGACATCTGGCGAGCATCGATTTGGCCGAACCTGAGTGAATTTAGTAGTGCCTTCTTCTGACCGTCACTTAGACGCGGTGCCTTGGCTGGCGACTGCTGTGCGATTCCACTGCGGGCCATTCTACGAAGTGCGACTTCGACTTTTTCATATTCAACGTCGTCAAGTCCCGTAAAACGACACATTTCCATATGGTTTCTCACGATATGCTGTGTCGTTTCGACTTCAGGAAGGTGGAGATAGGATGATCCATCTTCGACAACCTACTAATAATCAATATATATTGAGAGGGAGAGGGGATATTGTATCGTACCTTTTCACCACGTAAATACTGAACACCAATTGCCTCTTGAAATGAATGTATTGTCCAATTTTGGCAGCGGATTATAGGGTCGAACTCGTCCCTTAATTCCCGAAGGCGCTCTGACGAAGGTAGCAGTGTGTTGATGACATTTTCGTTGACGGTGACACCAGCAGCCTTGACACATCTCTCGGTGATACGTTCGAGAAGTCCTCGAGGATCCGCACCACCGTGAGGCGTGCCGAAAAAGATGATTCCAATCGTGGAAGTAAAAATAGAATGAAATTGCGGGCGGGGGAGATGTGGCCGGCAGCTCGCGGACCGTCTCAATGCTTCTTTGACAAATATGCCTCCCAAGCTATGAGCAATAAATATAAGTGGTCGTGATGGTTCTGATTGACGTTTGGCTTCAAGCTCCACCAAAAAGTCCCATGCCATCTCGTAAACGGTGCTTTTATTCCGAGGGGCTAAGACATGCGACAAATGCGTGTCGTAGCCGTACGTTAAGATTCGCGCAGTTGGGATAGTCTCTGGAAGCAGATCTCGTGGCCAGTAGATTCGAGCCTGGGAAACGGCGCCGTCATTTCGAGACGTTAACAGTCGACTGAGTTTCGTCCTCTTAGCAGGGAGCCCGGGGGATTCATCGGTCTCGCTGCACTGATGACTGTATTTGACATTTCCCTTGCTATGCGCCCATGTCCGCTCCGGATGGCCAGTGAAGCCATGGACAAACACGATGCTATTTGCTTAGCACTTAATGCAGAGAGTGGTTGAGGATCAACACCTACTCAATCGAAGGCTCATCAGGCTCAAATAGAATGGTCAATCCAGTTTCAGGAACAGGTTCGTGGCGGAATCGGCAAGCCATGTTCGTCCCCGCGCAACATTCGCAGCCCCGGTATAAGTTGGGCAGCAAGATTGGAGTTGCGCAAAATGGATCGCGAGAAGATGTGGAAAACAATGGCAAGGTGGAGGTTGTTAAGGCTGCCTGATTCCTGCCTTTCGCACTTCACCACCACTCCGTTTTATAATCCGAGAGGTAGCCAGGCTGTGCCAGGCTGAGCTGCAGGTTGGGACATCACAATCGATCACTCCAATGTTGCTGATCCAATAGGAGCTTCCTTTTGGTGTTCGTTGGTGTGTCTCTAGACGCTGTTACTATTGGCGGCCCGGTCGGCTTGTTGCCAGTTGGACCTGAGTGGCCGAAGCTTTCCCATTTGTCTGAGACGGATGAAAGAGCGTTGCAGATGATGGACCGTCAAACACCTGTCCTTTCCAGAAGAGACGAAGGAGTTGGCAGGCACCGATAAACAGCCCCATTCTCCTACCACCCGCCATGCTTGACCCCTCGAGTGAACCACATGTCCATTAAAGCCTCGCTCAGATATGTTTTGCCAAACGCCTTCTTGGCAAACTGGTAGTGCTCGTCTATCCCCCCAAAGAACTGGAGGGACTGGCAAAAGTCCCAATGTTCGGGATACCATCCGGCGTATTCCCAATCGAGAATGGCGGCGATATGGCCATCACGAACCAATATGTTGTGAAATGCAAGATCTCCATGACTGAACACAATCTCGTGGTCTGTCCGATGCATGGCTTCGTAAATATCCTGGTGAACAGGCTGTGATCATGCAGCTGTTCGAGTTGCCACGTGTTGAACTCCTCCTCGCAGGCAAATGATCCTCCCTTTATTGATCCCGCAGAGCGCCTGTCGACGGCTGGGCCGCCCGAAACAGAACCGATCAAGGCTTCTGGTGCCGGGATGTTGCGCATTTGAAAGAGGTACTCATGTAGTTCGGAGCATATGGATTCACGATCTTCAACGGAAAGCTTTGGCCAGACTCCCTTGAGATTCTCTCCATCAATAAACTCCATGACAATGTACCGACATCCCTCCTTCTCGTAGGCGTTCAATACTCTAGGGACCGGTATCGTGGTGTGAGAGCGAATGAATACGAGATTGTCAACCTCGGCCATGTCAAGATTCGGCGAGAGCTTCACCACCGTTGTCGAGTCTATTTTCAGTATTTTCCTTTTGGAATGGGTGTGCCCCGTTAGATCCCCGCCCTGACTGAGCTCGTCGTCTGTCACCTCCCGCCCTCTCTGAAGCCACTCTCGGCTGTCGAGATGTTGCATAATGCCAGACCTAGCTGTTTGGGCCCAGCGTGTTAGCCTTTGTCAAGATGTCCAATAAATGAGCAGTTATTACCCTTCGCCTTACTGCGAGCCGTGGAGAGGATACTGAGGTCAAGCAGCAGGTGAGGAGCCAGGAATATAGCAGCCACGCCGGCCATAAATCCGAGGCAAAATCCCTTACCAAAAAACTATTCTTGGGGCATGTCTCAGATCCGCGATGCCAAAAGGGAGACCAAGCACTAGAGTAGACGGAGTTTTTTTAAGTTGGAGGAGGCGTGGATCGCACGGATGTCGAAACGCTGTCCGTGACCAACCCGAGGGGCCCAACCAACACCAACCAGAGCAAAAGCTGCTCGGCTCTGATAAATACGTATGTCCCGTACCATCCTCAACATCTTGGGTGGACGATGTCCCCTTTGGAAAACTCACTTCAAATTTATAAATTATATTATAAGATTTTGGAAACATATACATATATTTATTTATCTTAGCAGTTGGAATTTATAATGCGGGAACAGAACAGGACTCGGTCGGCTAATAGCTAACCTAACAGTTGGAGCTCTGGGAAACTGCTGCAGGCCCTTTGGCAGAACTAACGGATGTCGGATGGATTGAACAATAGGCTTTAAGTTCCCTGGAGTCTGTGTTGTTCGAGTCGCACAAACTCTTCAAGTCGGCGCCCAGAAGAGCCTGCCCTGGCCGAGCGGGCATCTTCTTGCAGTTATTTTATGTTTATCCCAACGTTCCCTGTCCCTCTATCCTCTCCGCTGATATTCAGGTGAATACCGCCACATATTGCCACAATGGCCGCCCACGTTCGTGAATCAGTCAAACAACTCGACAAGAACTCATGGCTCATCGGCGACAAGTCAATTCTCCGTCGACGATCCTCCCCTCCTGCTGAGTATCTGTGGAAGGACAGCGACGGCTTCTGGTACTCTCTCTCTCACGCGACCTCGCCGCTGCCACCAGCTGGACCTCTACCCTCCGATAGTCATATCCGCCAGGTCCACGACGCCGGAGATGCATCCGCGGTATGGAGTTTCGGCGACGCCTTAGGTCAAACTCACACCGCAGGACTTTAGGGACACCACGAAAGAACACGTCACGTTAGGATGGCTTGCTAAGCAACAAAGTCTCAGCTTCGTTATAGCCAAGGTTTTGCACTATACCGAAGGGGATGACAGGAGCTATCTTTGGGTCACTCGCGTGCCGGGCCAAGTTCTCTCCGACGCTTGGCAGACGATGGATGAGGACGAGAAGCAGCACTATGTTTGCCGCACTGTTGATATCTGCAAGGAGTTGTCAGCCTGGCGCTCCGAAGCTATTACCGGAATCGATGGTGCAGAGTTTCCTGATACATGGTTAGATCTGCTCCATTCACCCCACAACTTCAATCCGCAAGCCCTTCAAAAGCCTTGCAGCGAGTTGGGCATGGACTGTTCGACGTTCTACTTTTGGCATAGCGATCTTGGGCCTTACAATATCGTTGTCAACTCAGGTGAGAAGGGCACCATGGGAATCATCGATTGGGAGATGGCCGCGTTCGTTCCGCGGGCGTGGATAAGAACGAAAGTTGGGGTTTCATGGGCTATGGACTTTGCATGGCCGGAAGTGCATGGGGATGATCCATCTCTACGAGAATGGAGAGAGCGAGTTGAGCAGAAGTTTGGAGAGGAAGGGTATCCAGAAGTTAAAGCAGCTTGGAAGAAGTGGCTGATGGACCAATACTCCCCACCAACAGAAGCTAACGTCGGGAGCTTGGGAAAGACTTAGTACTTAGCAGGATAATTCGAGATAACAGAAAGCAGAGCATTTTAAGAAGGCTCGAACAGCCAACAGATAGACGGCGTGCCTCCTCCTTGTTAGTCTGTCGATGAACGCGTGACTCCATTAGAGATGACCAAAACCATTCTTCTGCCTATCTACACACTCTCGAAGGAAAGCCCCGAGTCGAATCGGCTCAATGTTCGTGAACAAAGCTGTCAATTCTACGCCAATAATGTCGAAAACGCCGGTTGCCATTCCCACCATCTGAGGGCATATGACCGAATTGAGATCATCTCGACCACCAGGGAAATATAGATAGCACGCTTGGTTAGAGGGTAGCTCGTTCACGACATTAGATCTCAAGCTCTCCAAACTTTCGAAGTACTTTATCGAACTGTTTTCCTATGTGCAGAAAGAGAGTTAGCGGCTGGAACAACAATGGAGATATACATTGAGAAGATACCTGTAACATCCTCTGCCAGTTGGACGAGGTCATTCGAAGTAATTCTCTCTCCTGAAATCGTCGCCTCTCTTGGCCACTTCTCAACCTCGAGACCAAGTAACTCTGTGACAAACTTGCCGACATCTCGCGTATGTGTGAAAACGACATGGCCGTTCCCCTCTCCCGGAATGACCGCTTTGGAGGCTGGAAGGTCGGGCAAACAGTAAAGCGGATGGAGATTCGTATCAGCATAGGGGAGACCTAAGTAGTCCATAAAGAATCCGCACCTCACAAGAGCAAATGTCAAGTTGTGGTGGGCCTTTAGCTCTTTTCCGGCACGGAGGAATTCCTCGCGAGGACCGTACGGCATGGACCTAGGGCAAGCTCTGTTAGATTTCTGAGTGTGGACCTCGCAAGAAGTTGGGAAGTGGCTCAATCTTGGGGAGCATGATAGTCAATGTTGAATTCACTCGGTATGAACCTCGTCACCCCCCCTGATGCCGCGGCGCCTCGAATCAAGTTGATCTGCGAGTCTGAAGCCCCTGCCCAGTGTAGATTCAGCGTCGATATGACGGTGTCGACTTTAAGTCTGCGCAGACACTGGGCTATTTCGTCGACTGAAGAATAATCTATCTCGACAGGGCGAGGTAGATGTGACGGATATTCTTTTGGAGCTGCGTTTGCGTTCGGCTAAGATGTGTGTGGTTAGCGTAATTAACAATAAGATATATTCGTAAAGTCATTTGGACTGTACTTTTCTGGTTAATATGTAGACCTTATGCTTCATGCCTCGTAAAGTCTCTTCGACTATGGTGCGCCCAACATCACCTAGACCGCCGGCGACGGTCACAACGCTCATGGTGGAAAGAGCTCGGGAGCTGGTACAGATTACGCTGCTAAAATCAGTTAAGTAAATGGAGCAGGACTTGCCAAATAAAGCACAGAAGGCTGAGAATATTGAACTTTTGCTTACGACTTCGTACTTATTCGCATCTTGTCTATGGTGATGGTTGACTTCGGTATCCGCGGACCGCGGAGGCAAGAGGGCGGAGAACGGGTACATCGGGAGCCGTCGCATGTTCCACTAAGGTCCAACGGTACGTTTTCATGCCCGGAGGCCGGATCTCCAGCCAGGGAATTGAGTAATTTCTTCCATTCAGCGGCCGTAAAGGAGTATCCCTGGCAGATGGAATGCTACAGAGATTAGGGGGAACACAACGCGGACTACCTAGGGGGCGACCATCTGGGGACTGGAAAGAAGGCAAAGTTTGGTTTCAAAATTGTCAGTTCGTTGTTAATAGCGGGTATATATGTTAAAGCATCTATCATGCTATATCATCCCCAGACCACCATTGACCATGATATACTCTCCATTAACCCATTTTGACCTGTCATCAGCAAGCCAGGCGACGGCCCATGCAATATCTTCCGGATCAGCCAAGCTACCCTCACACGGAGTATCCTTCTCAAACTCGGCCATGATATGTTCTAGCTCGTCTCCAGCCCCCTTCCGGAATGTCTCAGTATTGACAGGACCCGGCGCTATGGCGTTTACAGTACACCCATACTTAGGCGGGAGTTCCTTCGCCCACACTTTAATCATAGCCTCTAGTGCGCCCTTGGTAGACGAGTACACCAAAAGATCCGGCTGCGGAATTCGGCTTGATCCAGAACCTATACAGATGATTCTGGAGCCGCCCTTGACGCCCGAAACTGAAGGAGGCGAAGAGGGTTTGTAAGGCGGTAAATGAGGCAAGACTGCCTGGGTTAGAAGAAACGTCCCCCGAGCGTTCAAGTTGTAAGTATCGTCCCACATCTTCGTCATCGTATTCCATGTCGGAGCGTGAGGAACGACGGCTGCGTTGTAGACGAGGATGTTGATGACGCCGAAGCGAGCCACGGCAGCTTCGACTAATTTCCCGGGGCCATCAACTGTGGCGAGGTCGGCGCAGACTGCTATCCATGGTGTTTTGAGCTTCTTGCCGACTTCGTTGCATTCGGCCTCGAGGTTGGGGAATGGGTAGTTGAGGACGATGTTTGCTCCACGGGATGAGAGCTCAATTGCAATGGCGGCGCCGATGCCTGTTGACGAGCCGGAGATTAATGCAGTTTTTCCATGCATTTTTTCTTCCTTCTCTTTCGAAATTCAATGAGGTTTGTGGTGTGGTGTTTGATGAGTATTGAGAGGGATTCTCTATTGATGCTACGTTCCTAGCTCACAACAGGGAGAATGAGGCCAAAAAAATTGCGTGTGATCATCCAAATTGTGAGTGGCTATCCTATATTAACTTATCATGGTGGATTCCGACATTCTGGAAAGGGGACTGATGGATGCCCGCGTTTCGGAAATTCCCTGGCGGGAACTGGCGGTTCCGGCTTGGTGGGTCCCGGACTCCGGTTTCCTATCACCGTGCCGGGATGACCGAACTGCTGGACAGCCGAACTTGTACAAGAGCGGCCGGAGATTGGATGGCCAGCAGGAAGGCGCCACGAAGGAGGATGGAACCAGAAGAGCAGTAAGGAATGTACTCCTTTATCAAGGTTAATTCTTTATATTTTATCAATTCAATTCTTGTGGCTGGTTCGAAAATAAGTCAACCATTTCTTGAGCCTAGCCATCTACCACCACAGAGAGCCACAAGTGTCATCATCAGTCTATCAGATTCCATCTTTTTCCTCATCCGCAACCATGGCCTTGCTTAGCACAAACACCTTGAAGTCTGTTGTGTCGAAGTTGGCCAGCGAATTGCGAAGACTGGATTCTGAGTCCCCAGCTACCTCCATCGTGGTCTCAATTACGGCAGTCGTTGTGACAGTTTCATTTGTCCGATGGTTTCGCCGAAAGAAGTTGAAGGTCAAGATTCTGCTGGCCGAAGAGATTCGAAGTTCAAGAGAACGCGCTCTTGAATATTGTTATCGCCCACGAGAGCTTATGCTCAAGGGCTATGACAAGGTATCTGCCCAAGATTGAGAATTAGCGACTGTGGATTCTAACATTTCTTAGTATGCCGACGAGGTCTATGGCATGGACACAAGAGATGGTGAGGAGGCGGCTCCCTACAGGACATAGGCGAAATCTAAGGTGCTAATGTGCTTCCAAAGGTATCAAGGTGGTCATTCCAACGCGGTTTCTCGACGACCTAGAGAGTCACCCTAGTCTAAGTTTCAAAGTGTCCATCGACAATGTGCATGAGAGGGGAATTCGATGTCTCGACTATGAGTGAAGACTAACATGACGTAGGATATGCAAGTGGACTACACATACTTTGGAGGTCCTCCTGAATATGTTATTCACGCAATTAAAGCCAACTTGACAGCATCGCTTCGTGAGTCTGAGACCCTCGGTAGATAAACCACGTCACGCAGAAACTCACATCAATTTGACAGCGGCTTTTACACCAATTTGGAACCAGATGACCAGAGCGAACATGCCCAAGATTGTAGGGGAATATAAAGGTGAGATATTACTCCCCAAGCCAGTGCTCAATGCCAAACTAACAAACTGATTGCGACCTCAGACTGGACACCCGTCGCTATCCACGACAAGATCCTCAAACTCATCGGCACCAACAATGCTCGAGTGTTCCTTGGCACCAGCGCATGCGCCGATGAAGAATGGGTAGATGCTTCAACGGGATACGTCCTCGCCGTTTTCGACACCATTCGTGCCCTCAAGGAATGGCCTCCGTGGATGCGCCCCTTCGTGTACCGTTTCCTGCCAGAGCGAGCCGCCATCAACGGGCAGTGGGTAAAAGGCCGCGAGAGGGTCCGAGAATGCATGCAAGAGAGGAAGAGGAAGGGCTGGAACATCGACAGCCCGGCTACAATGTTAGACTACTTGAGCTCGGGGAAGGACGCTCATATGGAAGACGACCTGGAGAAACAGGTGCTATTCCAGATGACCTTGGTTGCTGTTGGTACCGTCACTACTTTCGCTTCGACTGTGCAGGCTCTCTACGATCTTGTCATGCATCCCGAGTATATCCCCATCCTTCGTGAGGAGGTGGAGTCTGTACCTGTTGATGAAAATGGTATGTTTACGAAGCAGGCGATTCCTGCGATGCAAAAGCTGGACAGTTTCATCAAGGGGAGCCAACGCCTGGCAGCGGCTGATTTGAGTGAGTTCCTCCCCGTCTCCCTCTCTATGATGTGAACGCATGCTGACGAGGTATAGGCACATTCCAACGCGCTGCTACAGCGGACATGACACTCCCCGACGGAACGTTCATTCCCAAAGGCACAAAGCTCGAGGTGAACACGTACTCCATTCACCACGATAACTCTCACTACGAGAACGCGTCCACATTTGACGGGTTGCGATTCTACAAGAAGCGGCAAGTTACTGGCCACGAGAACAAATACCTCTATATCAGCGTTGGGAAAGACGACCTATCCTTTGGGTATGGCAGGCACGCTTGCCCAGGGCGGTATCTTGGCCACCTCAATATTAAGCTCGCCATGGCCGAGTTTCTACGGAAATACGATTTCAAGCAAGCAGGTCCCGAAGCACCCACGAATCACGCTTTTGAAGCTCTTGTAAGTGCAAAATAACTAAATGGCATGGAAAAGGGAATACGGCGAGACTAATTGGTTATTCAGGTTTCGCCGGACTCCGAGTTCAAGATTTTGATGAGGAATAGGAATCAAGCCTGAGAGAGGCTGCCGGCTGTTTCAGGGGGTCTGAAGAAGAGAGAAGAGATTCATGCTTCGTTACACTATTAAGTAGAGTTGTAATAAGAGACTCAGTTTGTAAATTAATGCTTTCAATTTGGCCATAACTGATTCCTTGTCAACATTGCCCTAGTTTCGGTGAGATGCGATGTGTTTTCATGAAGACATGCGGTCGCGTACATCACTGAGACAATTTAGATCAAATACTTAGGCATAAGCCTGTAATTCTTGTCTATACTTCGCAGTCGGTCGGCGGATCAATTTGGTCTGTCTATTCCTTGATACACCTCGTGCGCTACACTTGGATCAATGCTTAGGGCTCCAGGATCTGGTCTCGTGCTAGAGCGGATCGCCAGGCCCTGAGGGCGGGCTATCATTGATGTCGTTGATTGAGTGAATGGCTGATGCCCGCCACTTTCTCAGAGTGCGATCGTATCAAATCGCTTTGGCGATTGCTAGTCAAACGCTATTCCATGCGGCGAGACTCGCCGCACGCTGCCACCACCGGGGCCCGGAATATAGCCCACAGTAGTAGTATTACATACAAATATAATCTGTTGTTTTGGAAACGGACATGCCTTGATTGAAACTCTTGGCCTTGACTTCTCGAAGCTCGTCAAAGTTTGGTTCGGCTTTCTTTGTTCCACGTCTACGCGTTAGCAGTTTTATTCAGCCCTGCGAGGAGCCTAGCCAAAGAGTGGTCTAAGGTGGTATTTCGTATATTATGTAGGGTAATGTTCCTGCTCCCGAAATTCTTCAAAGAGTTTGGACGAAACAGAACACCGGATTACGCGTAGAAGGTTAGGCTGAAGGAGTTGCGTCCCCACGAAAAATGCAGCCATGGGAGCCATGTTCCCGGCACGCTAACAGGTCATGATCTGGGCCCGTGGAGTCGCACAACCCAACCACAATTTGACTGTGCTTCGAATTTGGTTTGTGCTCAACGGATGCAATGTAACGCTGGTGACCAGGGCGGGAAATCAATTTCACGGTTCTGGGGGTAGCACCGTCAAGATTGACTGAAAAATCTCCATCAAATTCGCTTTTCTTCCCCCCTTAGTTCCTTTTCGTTCTGGTCTCCGATCCACGAGCCTTGCTAACCTCCTTGACGAGTAACTCGACCTTAAAAATGCGCATGCACAATTCCGCCGCTGTCGCTTTTGCGGCCCTCAGCGCACTGGTCGTCCCTGTGGTTCTTGCCCAGCAAACGACAATGGTAGAACTTCCCAGACGCGACGAATCACGCGACCGCTGTTTTTGCTAACGTTCAACTCGTAGCCAATGTGGATTCCCATGGTAGACCCCGAGAATGCCGAGGAATTTTACTCGGGGCAGGAGGCAGTCATTCAAACTATTGTCAGTATCAGCATGCCCGCGTTGGAATGATTCAACTTGGAACGCAGCTTGCTAATCCTTGCACGAGTCGTAGACCAACCAAGAGACTGTTGTTGCAATCCGGTGTAAGGAGACACAGAGGCTGGGATGTCCTACCGTGACGCTCACTATCGGCCGGAGCAGTAAGGAGAACCCCGGTGCCAGCAAGAAATATCAAAATATCAATTGGGTCTGTCATGTTAACTGCCTCGGCCTGCAGCGTTCAGATTTAGCACGGACTATCAAGAAGAGACCGGTATCCCGTAAGTCACACCCTTTCCCCTAGTCTCACGCTCGACAAGTTTAAGCCAACTTAGATGGCATACAGGCCCCAGAAGAGTATCATGGACTGTACGTTTACCGGCTGTCCCTCCGCCACGACAGGAAGTTGCACTGCTGTATTTAGCGCCGACGACGAGGAGCTCGGAACTGGCCTCGTAACCCGGTCCGCACCGATTGACGCGACGGACTTGGTATTCCATCCCATCGCTCTTGCTACGCCTCTTCCCGAGGCAGACTCAACCCAGTGCGACTCGCAACCCGCAGCTGGTACCACTGGAGGGAAGAGCGCTGAGACCGGCGCTAGTGCACCCAGCACCGAAAACTCGGGTTGCAAAATCGCAGTGTGGTGGCCGGGAGTCGCCGCGGTTGCAGCACTTGGCCTCTTCATCTGACTGCAACTTCGAAGGTTCGCTTTCCATCCAGCCCCGAGATCTGGTCAATATAGCTTAGTCTACGCCTGTCGCAGCGTTGAATAATGCATCGACGACGTAGAACCTGTATTAATACCTTTATATAACGCGGTTCTGGTTTCAAAGCTGTAATTGAGTGCGCCATTAATTCCTACCATTTCTTACTAAAGTCTTCTTAACTTTCTGCCAGGGGCTGCGACTTCCACAGAAGCTACATTATGTTACTATTGTGAAACAGAATATTTGTGACCTTGCCCCAACTATTATCGGTTAACCTTCCCTAACAATGTGCTCTCCCCTGTTCGTCTGACAATTTGACGCTTTGGCGTAAATAACAGGACACGCCTGCAAATATGAAGTGTGCGCTTTTGGCTTGTCGTCCCAAGGAACAACAACCTCCTGACAGGCAGGCATGTTGAGACTCAGAGTGTTCGAGCCCCGGTCCCACAAACCAACCCCCAAATTCCCCCCCTGGATATATGTTGCACGATATCGCTTGGCGTAGATTATGTCCATCAATTAACAACTATTTATTATGCAGCCGCCTGCTCATGAAGATCAGTTTCGCCATTCTTGTTTGGATCATCATCATCTTTCCCTTCCTCTATTTTTGTTAGCTTTAGCTTGTCCTACAGACTGGTCTGTTCAGGTGCCCTTCAGGAAAGGCCTTTTTCTTTTCTTTTCTTATCTTTTCTTTCTTTACCTTTGCGCCCTCACTCCGCTTTAATATTTGGGCGTCTCCGTATTATACCCAAAATGCATCTTACAATTTCACTCTTGGTCGCTGCTGGTATTGCCTTTGGAGGTATGGGCTTGGCTCTCCCTAGTGATCTGAATAGATTGGCTGATGTGTGGTGATACTAACCTCTAAATGCAGCTCCGCACATCAACCCCCGTCAAGCCAATGCCTGCTTCGTCATCGGCAACGAAGTCCTACCAGAATCCGTCGTCGACTCCGTGGAAGCTATCCGAGGAGCGGTCACCTGCAACACTGGAGTACAGACACTCTCCGGCGTCCCCGACGTAACCTCAGGAGGCGTCACCTTTTCCGACGTCAACTTCGCCAACTCCAACCTCACACCCCTAGAGTTTGCGCTCACCGAATTTGCCGCGGCCACCCCTCTCGCTGACACTGACCTCCAAAAATTCGAAGATACCCTCAATGTCTACCTCGCCACGGAGGCCGGCATCCGGTCAGTCGGAGGACCACTTACTATAAAGGTGCCCAAGTTCTTCCTAGAGTTCCAAGTCTCGCGCATACAGACAGCACAAGGAAACCCACCGACCGCGGCCGGATTGCAGGTTGACCACCTTTTGGACAAGGTGTTGAAGAATGCTGGGAGAGAAGACCAGGCTCTCCTTGATCAAGTTCGGAATCTAGCAACCCAGCTTAGTTAGAGGATGGTTTAGGTATATACTTGTATAATAACTGTAACGGCATCTAGCCCGTCACAAATAGAGAGTCTATTGAAAATCTAACTCTAGGCTGTTTATATAGAGTAGGAGTGTTGTCTTGAGCCTGGCTTGACTTGCGCTTTTTAAAATCGGCTTTGGACCCGGTAATAATGGAGATCGGGTAGGGCTAGGGGGGGCACGCGGCGGACTTGAAGAAGGTCCGGGAAGAGCGTATGCCCGATACCCAGCAGAAGAGAAACTCGGCGACGTCCCGGAACGGGGGACAGGTGCGGCCACCGTCCCCACACGTGACTGAAAGTTGGACAAAGGTACAAAGGTACAAAGGTACAAAGGTACTCGACACCTCCATCGAAATTCCGTCGATCTAATCTTGATTCCCCTGATCAAAAAAGCATCACCATCATCAACCGTTATTTCCCATGATATCCGGTTCTCGCCTCAAAATCTAGCAGCATTTTTCTCCCTGCATCTCCACCCCGAAGAATCGAACCGACTCATCGTAAACTCAAGCCCAACTTCCACAAATCCAATCCCCGCCAAGCTCCCTTTCCGCCGCGAAGATGCCTATCACAAAATAGCCGACAGCTCGAGCACACCAATCCGCAGTTCCACCTTCCACGCCCTTCCCTCCCGTTCCTCAACTCCTCCACGAAAAGGAGGGCGATCCCGAACCCCGAGATGAGAGCAATAACCTCGGCGACAGATGGACGATCCCTGGAGCTCTCCTTGGACAACCGTCGATGAGGACCCGTCCAAGAGACACCCGCCCGAGGTTCCCGCCGCTCCGCCCGCCACCGCCGTTGCGTTCCCACCTTCCGTGCGGTTCGACTCGCTTTGGGGCGACGATAGTTTTGGCGGCTGGGGTGTGACAGATACGCGGATTTCCGGCGACCATGGAACTCTTTCTTCGACGCACGAGCCCAAGACTAATGGTTTTGAGGACCGGAGTGACGGGTTCGGGGCGTATACGACTGGGACTGGAGTCACGTCGGCATTCTCGTCGCTTTCGCCGGAAGCGGATCCTTGGGCCACGGAGGTGTCCTACTCGTCCTTCGAGGACACGAAAAAGGCCGACGCACAGAGGGGTTTGAGCCCAGTTGACGAGCCGGCTGTGGACCATTACCATACGGAAGCCTCGGATGCCACACATATTGCGTTACCCGGGCCTCCCACCCTCGAAAACGGTAGATTTGATGCGGTAGAGAATCGAACTGCTGCCCCCGAGCCGAATGACTCCCGTCCGCCTTCTCCGGAAACCGATCTCGAAGACGGTCCCCATGACGACGTTCTTTCAGTACCCAAACACAGAAATATTTCCCCCGATCCGCAAAGCGAAAGCTCCCGACAGGTGTCAAAGGTGCAGGAGTTGGTCGACATGTACGATGGCATCGCGAAAAAGGCTACGAGCGCTCCGCCGCCTGCCGTTCCCGTTCCCCGCAAGAAAGCGACCGGCTCCGACAATGTAGAAACTGAAGACGAGGAGAGAGATGGAATAAGAAAAGATGGAAAAGAAGAAAAGGACGGAGATGAAGACGAAGAGGACTGGCCCGAGGACTTCGAGACCGGAGACAACGAGCCTGCCCAAATCCTAGAACCCCCCTCTCCACACGGCCCTCCCTCCCCTCAAGCTACTCGCGAACCACCCCCCAAATTCGACATCGACATGTCTCAGATCCCCACCCTCTTCAACAATCTTGCCACCGATCCCTCCACAACCGTCCCCGCCCAACTCCCCGACCACCCCGACCTCAACTTCTCCACCGTAACCGAACGCAAAGCCTGGTACCGCCTCTCCCGCCAAGGCTCCTCGCGCCTCCACGACTTCGGCGACGACGAAAACTACCGCGGCGTCTCGTGGCGCGGCTCAGCTATCAGCGAGGAGACGTTTGCCATCGTGCGCCGATGGATGCAGGAGGGTTCTGTGGTGGGCGCCGGGCGGGGCGCGAGGGGCGGGAGATTTGGGAGCAGGTCGGCGGCGACGTTCGGGTGGGATCAGTCGAGTAGTAGCGATCCGGTTGATTTGAGCTTTTTGCATCGGAAGAGGGCGTCGCTGGATGAGAGGAAGGGGAGTGGGCAGAGATTGAGTCTTGATATACCTCCTGCTTTTGTGCCGATCTCTGCGACAAGGACTTCGATGAACGGGGCTGCTAAGCCCTCAAGGAGTCGGCCTGTTTCGATGCCAGTTGCTCCAACGCAGTTCCGATCGACACCTAAATCCAATCATAAACCGTCGCCCCTTTCTGTATCGACGAAGGCTTTGAATGGATCAATGGTCACACCTAAGTCCTCGACTCCCATAACTCCGAAGACAATCACAACTACCGCGAAGCCTGTCGAAGACGATGATGAATGGGGCGAGATGGTGTCCTCGCCGCAAACATCCACCAATACCAGCGGTTGGGGTCAGAGTTCGACGTCCATTCCTGATTCTGGCGTGGACTTTGCCATGTCCCCGACGGCGAAACCAGCGTCTGTCTCGTCACCGAACGGAAGTGCTAGAGGATCCCAGTCCAAGCCTAGTGTGAGATTTACAGAGCCTACAATTCCGGCGGACACGGGATCAATGACTTCTTCTCCTCTTGAGAAATCTTTTCCGTCTTCTCCTCCGAGTCAGCCTCCTCCCCAGAGTCCAGTTGTTGGTACATCGGGAATAGCTGATATCTCTACATCTGGTGATTTTGATCGCCTAGGAAGAAGGAAGCCCGTAGCGACGGCAAGTGTTACGAATAATGAGTCGAGTGAGACGGAGGAGCTTACAGAGGCGGAAGAAGATGCTGTCGCACGCGTGGTGTTGAGTCTTCCCGACTTATCCTATATGCTTAGATGAGCCAAGACGAGCTCAGATACTTTCTCTTTTTTCCCGTTTGCTTTCCCCAGTTGGCATCCTTGGCGTTTAATATATGTTTAGGGAGATGAATTAGAGACGCCGATGACGGATTATGTATACTACTCTTCCTTCTTTTTTCACCCAACCCGGGTCTTCCTTAGACGAGCGAAATGCTCACTTCTTTTTGGAATAATTGACCATCTATTCATGCCATCTCTCCCGTTCTAACTCTACTTTTTTTTCGTGAACTCGAGAGAAAGGAGGAGGTGTCTTATTTGACAAAGGCCATAACAGCATACCTAAAGCTCCCATTCGCGTAGCCCCTCCTCATCGCCCTAAACGCCTGGAGGAACGCGATGCCATCGCGACCTTGGCTGAAGGCGAAGGCCCAGAGAGCTGGGTTCTGGACGAGGGACCAGGAAATGTCCCTAGTACGGTCGCATTAGCATCGGGTTGCCCTTGCTTTGCCCCTGGGTTTTTATGCTTACCATGTCTTGCTGACGTCGTTGCTGATATCCTTCGGCTCCGAAACGACGGAGAAACCAGCCGCCTTTGCGAGCTGGACATAGCCCTGCTGCGTCTGCAGCGGCGGGAGAAGCATGCCATCTTAATGCCCAAATCAGTTCTAGATCCTCAACACAGATCAGAGGGAGAGAACTGAAAATACTCACCCTCGATAGCCTTGATATCAGCATTCTCCCCTTCCAACCCCTCCGCCTTAAACCAATCCGCAATCACCAACTTTCCCCCCTCCCTCAACACCTTAAACGCATTCCCAAAAAAGTTGTCCTTCCCAGGGATGTGACTCAACGCCTCACTAATCCAAACAACATCGAACCCCCTCCCCTCAAACTCCCGATCCATCTTCTCAGCATCCATCTCCACGAACCTCACCTTCCCCTTTTCTCCCCCCAAGGAAATGAACCCCTCCGCATCAACCGCAGACGACGCCCCGTTCTTCTCGGCCTCGGTTTTGCTTAGACGCGTGGCCATCTCGACCTGCTTGGGCGAAATGGTTATGCCAGTTACGGAACAGCCCAACGTGGTGGCTAAGTAGCGGCTCGTTCCGCCAAGGCCGCATCCGACGTCTAGGACGCGGAGGGGAGAAGGGGACGGGGACGGGGGAAGGGAGGCGCTAGTTAGGAGGAGGCGGATGAGGTTTATTTGGGCTTGTTCTTTTGATTCGGAGGTTTTGGATTCGGGGGTTGGCCAGTAGCCATGGTGGATGTGTTCGCCCCTTTTGCGTCTCGTTTCAGTCCCCCCCGATCAATTGAGTTCTTATTCTACGCGGGAAGTGAAAAACTCACCAGAGCCGAAGGTAGTAGTCGCTCGCGAGATCGTAGTGTAATTTGATTCTATCCTTCAACGCCTGCATCGTTCCGTGCGCTAGACCCATGGGCGTCTCATACTTGACGCTCAACTCTGACGTCTCGCCGCTAGTTGTAACCGGTCCTTGAGTCGATGCCATCTTGTTTATTTATTTCCCAATAAGGTCAAATGAGTTTGAAATGTCCAAGGAAGATGAGAAACTGAGTGGTCTAAGAAAGTTGAAGCAGAACGAATAATGCAGACTGGTACGAGAATGTTGTGAAACGGGAAGTTGCTGCCCACCTGCAGCTATTTCGTCAAATCCTCAACGCTTTTTTTTTTGGCCTCTTCTTAGGTTGGTTGCGTTTGGGCCTGTTCTTGGGTAGCTTTTCGCTGCTTTGGGTTTGTTTCAATTGATGCATTGATATTGTTACACCCAAGCCCAAGCTCGCTCTTTTCTCCGCATTCCCTTCTCCGCATTTCATGGAGATCGCCCAAAAATATCGCTGTTAAACCTCGAGAGCGGCTTTACCTACGGCTTCTCCTAAACCTCTGGTCGTCAGCGTTTCTGCCACCTCTTTACAAACGCGCTCTCTAATTATATTCAAGTTCACAATCCGGTTCGCGAGTAACTCACGCGGGAGCGGAGGAAGAGCGGAGGGTGAGATGGTAACCCCTGCGTTACAGCCCACGCCCTGGAATTGACAGGTAGCGAGAAATAGCCTAGCTGAACGTAGTCGTCGCGTCATCATGAGAGGTGGCGGGTAGCGCAATCGCTTGATGTCCAGTCTTAAATGCGGCATGGCATCTGGGTTGAGATTGCAAGGCGGGAAAGCTGACGCCAGTGCCCGAGTTTCGTGGTATTTTTGATCAGTGGCGCAAGTGCATCCTCCAATTGTTCCTCGGCCAGAAACTGTCACTCTGATCAGGTAGAAAAGCCATATAAAACGAACCAGAAAGAACCGTTTCTTCGATATCATCTCTTGTTTTAATCCGCTGCAATGCATCAACGACAGCCTCTAGCACAACATCTAGTAGGCAGATCTTGGCACGAGAGTGTACCAGACATGAATGTGAAACCCTATACTCCCTAACCCATCCCACGAACATTAAAAACTTGGAAGCCATCATCAACATATATGTAATAGAAGAAGAGAGGCTTGCAACCACCTCTCACCTCCCATCCTTCAACTCCCAAACCTTCGCCCTTCCCGCCCCCCTCCTCTCCGCAACATACTCCAACATAACCTTCGCCTCCGCCTTCGTCAACCCATCAATCTGCACGCTCAACACCTCCACAATCGCCATCTTGCTCAGCTTCTGGTTCGCAATCACCGCCTTCTTGAAGGCCGGTAACAGCTCCGGCTTCGTGATCTGCGCCTGTGTCTTCCCCGTCTTGGTATCCGCGTCACCAGAGGCGTTGTCGTTGGTATTTGAAGACGTCGTCGCTGCCGTCGCTGCGGACTTGGTGCCTAGCGCTTCGAAGGCGTTGGTTGGAGCGGCGGGGGGTGGCATCGTGCCCTTTGACGCTGTGCTCTTAGGCTTGGGTTCGGGGTCCCAGTATTGTGTCGAGAAGGGATCAATGCCGCAGTTTTGGTCGAGGTTCCCTGTAGATCGTTAGTGAAGAGTCCTACATCTCTCGTGAGCCCTAGACAGCATACCTAGAATAATCTCCATACGATGCGCACGCATGCTAGCCACCGGCCCAACACCTTGTGCATTCTCAAAGCAAAGCCCCGTACTCTCCGGTTCCATGGTATTCGCAAATATCCGCCTTGCCACGCCCGCGTCCTCCGAATCGTCAAGGAACCCATCCATATCATCCTCATCCTCGAGGTCCTCCTCTTCCTCGTCGAGGTCATCCAGATCGTCGCCAGGCTCATCATCTTGCCACTCCGCTTCGGAATCGTAGTCGTATTCCAGATCGAGGACCCTCTGCGTTGGACGTCGGGCCGCTCTTCGAAGACGGGCGGGTCCGAATTGGTGAGGGAGGCAGGTAATCGTACCGTAGTATGGCGGCCGTACGTCTTGTCGGAAGCAGAGAAGCTTCATTGGGATCGATCGGAGTTTCGCGAGGGCGCCTGCGTTCGAATTGTCGTGTAGCTCCTCGATGAGGGCTCTCACGGGCGGGTGCATCTTGCCTGTTCGATTCGGCGGTTGTATAAGATGGAACGTGTCGATTGGATTGAATGGTTTCACGGTAACGTCGATACCTCGATGTCCGTTCACGTACTCGTCCAGAATCTTCGACTTGGCCTCGAGAGTCTCTTGATCGGCAATCGGCAACGAGGTCGGTGCCATACGCACATGTTCCTTGACAAAGAAAGGCTGAAACATCCGCTCGTACTCGCTCTGTGGCTTCTTCCGCGGTGTCGTCGTCGTCGAAGCAGTCGTGCCGCCATCCGTCCCCGCCTTCGCATCCACCGCACCCAGTGTAGCCGCAGCCGGCTTCTTCGGCGTAGCAGGTGCCTTGAAAAAAGACTGCAGCCTAAGCTGACTCCTCTCCTTCTTTTCCTTCTCCTCGCGCGCCTTCCGCTCCTCCTCTTCCTTCTTCTTCCTCTTCTCCTCCCGTTCTTGCTGCTTCGCCGCCTTCGCCTCCTGCTCTTCGGCGTCCTTCTTCGCCTTCTCGGCTTGCCTGGCCGCCTTGGCGATTTGCTTCTCCATGTCCTGTTTGGCCTTTTCCGCTAGTTTCTGCTGTCGTAGGTCTTCCCTTTCCTTCTTCTTCTTCGCTTCCTCCTCGGCCTTGGCGGCTTTTTCGGCGGCTGTTAACCGCTTCCGCTTGGCGGGTGGTTGATTTGCGGTGCCGTTCTTCGGCGTCGGACTCGTTCCGGGGGCCATGGAATTCGGGAGAGGGCTCGGCGAGGTAGCTCTGTTCTTGGTGGGTGTGGGGCTGGGTGAAGGGCTGGGTCTGGGTGGGGTGATGCTTCCGGCGTCAGTTAATGACTCGGGACTTCTTTGGCGCGGAGGAGATTGAATCGAAATATCTGGAGTTGGAAGAAGAGCTAGTTAGAAGGTAAAGGAAGAAAAATGTCTTCAATCAGTTGGTGTCCCAAGTCGGGGGAAACAAAAAAGAAAAAGCAAAGTAAAACGGATATTGGGCTAAAGGGTGCTACTCACGATTAGGAGGATTGATGGCGCCATTGAATTCGCAGGGCTTAAGAGAGGAGACGTCGTTCATGACGATGTCTTCTGAAGAATATTCCTCGTGGGTCCTTTTCCTCCTCGCTCCTTCCATCTCTTGCACGTTTGGTGACATTTCTAAAAGCGGCATGATACGCTGCCGCCTGGCTTCGTTGGCACCTTCCCTTGAAATATTCGGCGGATATCGCGACGTAGTTTGATGAGGGCAACAGCGGCGGTCGGTTGGGGATTGAACGAATTGGTGTGCGTCTCGAAGGAAGCTCGATGGTGTGAATAGGGGATTTGGAGATCTGGCCAATTTAGTGAGAGGCGGTGATTCGGATGAAAAGAGAGTGTTGAATAGTTGGACCAAAAGATATTCCCTCCCCAAGACTAGAGTCAATATCCGGTCTCAAAAACTGAGAGGAAAATTGAAGGCGTGGGTGAACAGAGCTTGATCTCAATCGAGTCTTCGAGGGTGTCTTGTCGTTGAGAAAGAGAAGCACTTAACAGACCACACGCGATTGCTCGTTCCTGCCGTCCATTGCCCTTTGCTCTTTACGCGACCCTGTCGTGTCTCGCGCCGCCCCGAACTTAAGAAGCTGATTGGACATGCGTTTATACATCGGATAAATTATTAAAGTACCGGAATATCCTTATGTAATCATCTTCTTCATTGCCCTCCACCCCACCCAAGCCGTTACTGGCCAGTCGGAGCAAAGCCGATCTGACGGGGCCTTAGTCCGCCAGTATCCCGGATGAATCGCGGAGGGGAGGTGCAATTACTAGAGCTGTGGATTGTAAATAACACCGGTGAACGTTCAGCTCTAGTTCAAGATTTAAAGGTCATATACAAACAATCAACTTGTCCCAGGCAGGCGCAAAGTTTGCCAAACAAAATTGATGCCTTGATATTTTCAAGACCGCAGCCTGACCTTGGCAAAGTTTTCTTTCTTTCTTTTTTTTTTCCCCTCCCAAACACCCAAAAGCTTGAGCCAAAGACCAGAAGCCATAGCCCATAAATCGTCGTCTCTTCACCATGGATCGTCTACCCCCCGAAATCCGGGAAATGATCCTCAGCGATATCCCGCGTTCCAAATGGCCGCTCCTAGCCACCGTCTCCCGCGCCTGGCAGGACACGGTCGAGATCCATACCTTCAAGCGAATCGAAGTGAGGTCCACTTCCTCCCTCTCCATGGATGTCCTCTCAAGTGCGGCGGCATTGACCAGCTGCCGCGCGGCATGCATCAGATCCATCATCTACACCGTCGAACTTCCCGCCCACATCAAACCACCTTCCAAGGAGGCAACCAATTCTACGGGTGACTATGTCAACGCAGAGGACATGAAGGAAGACAATCGCGCCTTCACAGACGCCATCAGGTGTCTCTTCAATATCCTCGCAACTTGGCCTACAAACACGGCAGCCATTGATCTTAGGATTCAGGCCACTTACCTTGAGCATGAGACGTCAGAAACGGCACGAATTCCCGAATACGCGTACATTGCTCTTGAGAAACACCCTCGGTTGCCGCTCCTGCATTGCGTCGGCGGTCTCGACATGACGCCTCGCAAAATTTCCAGGCGCCGGTTGCCTAGCTTTGTGCCCCTACACATCGCGCTGGAAACTCAGGCGCGGCTGTCCAAGCTCTGCCCGAACCTTGTCCACACCCGCTGGATCTTCTACCAGCCGGGGATTTGGCTACCTCTCCTCGAACAGATGCGCACCGAAGCAATCGAGGCCATGATCCCGGCTGGTCGCCATAGCAAGCTGCCGCTTTTCCGCGACGGAGCTGTCCTGAGATTGCGTACCGCGGGCTACATGCAGCCCCACCACCAACGCCTACCTAACCTAAACTTCCCGCTCACGTATGATCCATTCTGCGCCGCCATGCGCAACATTTCTCTCAACCTGCGCCGGTTTCACTACAGCGGCACTGTAGACCCAGCCCTCTTCTGGCGCGCCGACGAAGAAGATGCCGAGACAACCCCGCTTCCGCGCTGGGACTTCCTCGAGCGCATGAAGATACACACGTCCCTTGGCACGTCTTCGGGACAGCGGCTCTACCGCGGGGACGGAAGCCACCCGTCCAACGAACCCTTGCCGCCCGACGCTCCATCGTACTGGCCACCGGGGTACGGTCACCCTAGCGAGGACGGCGACGCGCTCGCCTACGCGAGGCGAATGCTTTCGGAGCAGAGCAATATTTACAAGGAAGACGACCTCGAATATTCTCTCCGCCCGGTCCCCAATACACCGGTCTTGGAACCGCTGCTCATAGCCTTCGCGCGGGCTATCGGAGCCATGCCCAAGTTGAAACTTGCAAAGCTCCTTATCTGGCACGGTTCTGCCTTCAGAATTTACATCAACTACTCCGTCAAGTACAAAGGGTACTTAGGCGAGCCCCTTCCTGGATGTACCAAGAATCCAGGTTCTCAGTGGCCGCGCTTGTTTGTCCAACTTCGTGACGGTCTGCGGCTCGATCCGGGGATAGTCGATATCTTTAGGGAGTCGGCGAAGAGAGTCCAGGGGAGGGAACTTTTGGTTCTGTATTTGCCTGAGGGAGAGTCGACATCGGAGAATGGGGATTAGAGGGAGTAGGGACTAAAATGGGCGCCTTAGACAGAGTCTCACTTGAACTTTCTTTTGCGATCTTGGATTCCAATTCACACAGATCCAGAAAGGCGTCGCAAACCAGCCACGGTCTAGATCTCCAACACACTCACGGCCGACCCACCCAAAATACTGCAGGAATACACTCGAATCGGGTGTCGATAGGGTTACAGAGCTAGGTCCACATTAATAGTGTAGTGTATTGTCGTTTAGGCCTGAGCAGATGAGACGGTGCGAGAAGAGTAGACGACCAGACATGAAACAAAAGCTGCTTTCAGACACTAACTAAGCCTTGCTCTCCTGTGTAATAGAAGTGAATAATCAGAATGTGGGAATTGGGTTTTCGATCCCTCGGAGTGGGTGTGAATATTTGATTAATTGTTTAGCCACAGGAGAGGGAGACCTTGAATCAATACTTACAATCCTTGATTTTCTGTGTAATAAGCCCTCTTACCGGCTTCTAAAACATCTGCACAGGCTCACCCTGTCTCGGCCTCTTGATATCAACCTCGACAACCTTGACTAGCCCTATCTTATTTGCTATCACGTTGTGCGTTGTATTCATGAAGCCCACAAACTCACGGTTCCTCACATGTACGGAATTCATTATCTCGAGTAGGGAATCGCCCTCGAACAGAGCTCTCGAAGCCGCCTTTCCCAGAAAGTACCAGAAAGGAAAGACATAGTTGAAATCGCACTGGGCGCCTACATGTGCAAAGACTCGCTGTTGCCTTGCGTCTGATATTCTGACACAAGGGAAATTGTCGTCAGTAAACTCGCGGATTACTGGGGAAAGACAAAGACGATGAGGCGGTATCGAGTTGTTTTATTCTTACTGAACTACCAACTGAGAGATCGTTTTCAAATCGAAATTATTGGGGTGGCTCTTACTGAGAAGCTCGACGGGAGGCAATGTCCAAGATTTGACAGCCTCGCGATAGGGATCATTTGGGTTTATCCGTTTCAAAGAAACAGGTTCTTCAGCGGCCGAGTCCGGCATCGAAACGTCTGGCGCCATCTTGATGGTTTCTTGGAATGTTCGCGTCTAACTTGTCAGTGAGGTTGAGAGGCGAAAGGTGAAGGGTAAAGAGTGAAAGAAAAGCGAAATCGGCCCAGAGTCTCGAAGTTGGAGGGGAAACATGCGGGTCTCCGGAGCGTACAAGTCCTACTTAGACTCACTCACCTTTTTTGTGAGCGAGAAGCTTCCAAAATCGAAAAAGGTCAATTGGTGCTACGTTGATCGTGTTGGCGATGAGTTTCGAGTTTCGAGTTTTGAGTCACAGTCACGTTGTGAATCGCCTGGCTGTTCAGAAGTTTGAATGATCTATCAATTGATCAATGGTGAATATCAACAAGTGCTTGTCTGTCCAACGCCTTGTTGATTGATTTGAATTGATGCCTATCGGCCACTGTCTGCTTGTTAAAGATACGTCGATGAACGACATCTTGAAGCCAACCAACATTCATGTAAGTGGGAATAGGTTCGTCTATCGGAATTTTCGTCGCATCAATCGTTGGCCACCACCTGTGACTATAGGCGAGATCATTTTCGAGGCTTGAAAAGGATGCGACTGCGTATAAAATCACCCGCGTTCCTCGTTGATGGAGGCGGGAGGTGTCTCGAAGCACCATTCCCATCCCACCCTGCCTTCAACCAAAGCCTATTCCAAACGACGAGATAGCACCTTATCCGACCTTTTCGAATCTACTGGTTTTTCATTCTATATTACTATCCTTCATTTGTTTCTACCCCAGTTTACGATATATATATATATATATATATATATATAAAGACAGCCAACAGTAAGTGACGATCCGACAAGACATTAGAGCCCAACCAGCCTCTCCTACCTTGCTCGGGCGAAACGTTAACGTGAATCTCCCACCCTAGGACATGTGCGCCCATATAGAATTCACCCACCCTGAGTGCGGACACACGGTGCGCTACGGTGAAATCTATTGCGGACGTGGTTGTGCACAAGAGACCTGGGGCACTGTTGACTGTGGAACCCTTCCAGGCAAATGTCCGTCCTGCCTCCCGCCGACGCCCCCAGACTCGGACTAGAAGATCTGGAGGAGACCTACAGAGGAGATCTACAGAGGAGACCAATGGAGGTCATAAAGATTGAGGACGGTGTGGTATGAATCGCTCCGTTGACAGAGTGGGGGGTTCGGCTTAGGAGTTTTATACACACCTTCGTCGTACGTCTATGTGGTTGGGGTCTCCTTAGACGTACTAGATTTTAGGGGCAACTAAACGACTACTTTAAAACTATCGTCCGCATTTCACACTTTGTGTCGCAAGCTGGGCTTCTCCTGGAGAGGAAGACGTTTCACGGCTACTGTGGACCAGAGCCCTGTCATGGTCAAAGATTCGGAGGCACTGTCGAACGATAAGACCTATCTAAACAGGCTGCGCAGTCTACCAACTTGTGTGCGACCAAAAGAACGGTAATGATGAGGGCCTCGCAAAGCCCGCCTCCTATGTAGTAAAGAGCGCAATCAGACCTCTCTCTCATCCT